AGTTACAGGCTACAGTACCATGTTGTATTGGTCTGAATCAGGACGAATCTTCAACTTGAGTCAATCATCATGCTTTGTTAGAATTCTATATTTGAGCCAAAAAATAAAAATCAACCCTTCAGAATAATTTATTGAGACCAGGGCCGCCGCTTCCACTAGGCGACCCTAGGCGGTTGCCTAGGGCGGCAGGATTTGGGGGGCAGCATTTTGCCGCCCTCAGCAGAAATTCGGCAGCGGGGGGTCCTTCCACTCCGGATCTTCGGCGGAAATTGCCCCGAAGACGCGGAGCGGAAGGACCCCCGCCGCCGAAGACTCCAGGCCCCCTGAATGCTCAGAGGAGGAGCGCTGCCACCTAGGGCAGCAAAAACCCTGGCGCCGTTCCTGATTGAGACCATGGAAGTAGCAGTGATACTGAATTACACTGCACCTTTCGTCCCAGGATCTCGAGATAACACTCAAACTTTCATTAAGTCTCAAAACCATAAGGCATTTGAAGAGCAGATGGGCAAACTGAAGTAGAGAGGTCAAATGGCTCGACAGAGGTCACCAACAAGGCATGATTGATCCAGGAATAGAACACAACACTACTGGCCCCGAGGCTAATGCTCTAACCACTAGACAGTCATAGAATCATTGGACTGAAAGGGACCTCAAGAGGTCTTTTAGTCCAGTCCCCTGCACTCAAGGCAGGACTAAGTATTATCTAATCTAGACAATGCTCCCTCAAGTAATCAAATGCACTTCAATTCAGCTGAATTTGATGCAAAGTTATTGTGCTCACATCACACCCTGAATGCCAATTCAAGTTCATAATTTTTTGTTTTCCGGTATGGTCTTGAGTCTACGTAGGTGCCAGATGAAGTGAACTTGCAGGTAACTCCATGTCACTGATGTTTTAAAATGCACTCGATTGATTTGTGTATCGTTTTATGACAAGACATGTCAGTGGGCTGTTATGAATCAGAGCTGAATAAGGTTCACAGACATTCCTCTTGATAAGAAAGAGAAGATTTTGTAGCCATCTGCAACTCCCACAAGTATATACACATATAGTCTGATGCCCAGACCAAACTGCTGATCTCATCATGTCCACAAAGCACATCTTAAGGCTCAAACAGAGACGGTCACTCCCAAATCTATTTTAGTGTAGCGTCGGCACATCTTTCTGGGGAAACTATGCCACTAGTAAAAAGGTCTATTACCCTAATTCTTTAATGACAAGGATATTGCTGTAAGCCTACATAGCCTCAATGGAGCTACATCAATTTACTCCAGCTGCTCTTAGGCCATTTCAGGACTATAAAGTTCTTGCTTCTTCTGCAAAAGATCTGTTTCTTTTACGAGCGGAGGAAGAATATTTTGTTTGACCAAAAGACTCAGTAACAGCAGCATGGCACGTACTCAGCTGTTTTTCCCAAGCAAGTAGTCTCTATTCTACTGTTGGATTCACATGGACAGCAATACATGCTACATCAGCTAGTCACTAAAGACCAGCAATTGCTTTCTGCCTGTTACTGGGGTTCTCCAAAAACTCTTTAGGGGATCATTTTGTTAAGAATTTCCACACAAACAAAACAGATCCCACACAGTGCTCCTCACGCCTACAGCACGACAACATATAGGTGAAAATAGGCAACTATATTACGAAGCCATTTAAACAGCTTTTCATGTGCTGTGTTTTTATACCTGCCTACTGTATTTTCCACTCCATGCATCTGATGATGTGGGTTCTAGCCCACAAAAGCTAAATTTGTTAGTCTCTAAGGTGCCACAAGGACTCCTTGTTGTTTAAACAGCTATGTTTGCAATCGGGCACAGCTAAAATAATCTAACCACATGCTTCCATTTACTCTCTCTACTACATACAGTTTGTGCTTTCACTGAGGTCAGCGGGAACTGGGCATGTATCTAGGGGCAGAATTTGGCCAGTTTTTAAGCTTTGCTGGAAATACAGTAGGGTTTATACATGAAATAACCAGATTTCTTCTTTAATAGGTTTTGAGATGGCTGGGGGAGAGAATTTAAACCTTATTTTTGTTTCAACTACATTTATTTTTGCATTCTTGCCTTTGTTACTGCATGGAGAGAGTTTGTCTTTCAGCTCTGGAGACCTGGGGCTCAAATTGTAATGTGGACACAAGCGACAAGGAATTTGCTGGAATCACCACAATCCCTAGTGTCTATTAGTCCACGCCATAAAACTACTACCACACAGCTTGGCATCACCAGCTGTCACTGATTAGTCAAGGCCCAGACTAGCAGACCCTTTCAGGTCAGGGCTGAGGTGCAGACAGGGTTGGGTGTGGTCGCCAGCACAGCACCCAGCTCCAGCTAGGGCTATTATTCATTCATTTGCACATGGAGCAAATTCCACACCAAATTAAAATGGCAGGTATTTTATTTGCATGTTTTGCAGGCTCAGTAGGCACAAACCAGTTATTGCAACGGAGAAAGTCAAGGCAACATTCTACTTGGACAGTGTTTGCTTAATTATTCGTATTAGGAAATCACTCTCAGTGCCATATGGCTGTTACGCAGAGTCATTTATAAACCAATAGCAGCAGACAGGCCAAAAACTTTGTTCACAAAACAGAGGGTAGCCACCCCACTTCCTTAAAACCAAAGCGTTTAGACCTTTATGCTTTTGAAAAAGGAAATTAATGTTTCACCAAAGCCAGCTAGGAAGCCCAGCAGCAATGTATCGAGTATCCATGGAATCCTGGTATTCGGTATCTATGGAAATCTCATTATCCTGGGCCATGCTTTTCAGTTATTTACACATAACTGGATTCCCGTTCTGTGTCAGGCCTAGTAAAACAGTGGTGAGAAGGTCGTATCTTCCTTGATATTAAATCACAAGGCTACTTTGTTCTCTTGTAACTGCAATACTGAAGGGCAGTGCTGTTCTTCAAAGAGGTGAGGTCTTTGTATATGCCACTGTGAGAAGGCACGTTGTTACATAAGCATTCGAAATCTCTTGAAAGGAGAATAAATAAATTAGCTTTCTGTTCAATCGTACCATGAAAATGTCAACACCGGGAGAGATTTGATTAGACTGCTAAAGTGAAAAATGACATTTACCTTGAGTCTAGCTGGGCTCAATGAAGCAACAGATCATCCAGCAAAGTTTTTTGTTTCACCTGCACCGAGATCTCCCCGTTTCAATTTGGCTTGCTAGTCAAATGGTGTTACGTGCTTCCAAACAGGAAAGTTGTTTGAGGACCCATCTGGTCTGTGTATATTTAATGCAATTCTCATGGTAGCATCTGAGTATCATCATGCCTGTCCATCAAGGCCCATACACTGGCCCTCTTCTCCTTTATTTTATGCTGCAATGATCAGAGTGATTATTTTGTGGTCTGCCAGGAGAGTATGTTAACAGGCCATTTTTTTCCCACCATGATTACTGAGGGATGGTTCGAAGGAAGAGATGGTCTTACAGGGTGCACTAAAAGTTGCAAGATTTAGGTTCATCCTGATCCACAGCAAGGAGCACTCCTCCCAGACACCCTGTCCTTGAGAACTTCACAGGGACCATCAGCTTAACATCACCATTGATTGCAACTGTTACTGTGCAGCCCAGAGGGAGAAGCAGCCCCTTCAAGAGTTGGGCCCTACCCCCTTTAGATTAGGACCAGGACCTTGGAATGAATCCAGAATCAAATGTGGAGTCAGCATAGAGCACCAACAACCTACATAATGTTTTCTAGTCAGAAGCGGCAGAAAGTCCCTAAAAATGGGGGGCCATCAGCACCCAAACTGTGGCCACACCCTCCCACACTGGCCCTTCCCCCCCGAACCCCTGCTCCCGTGCTGCCCCTTCCCCCCAAGGCTCCCCCCTCACTCCTCTCTACCCCCTCCTCCCACTGCTCGCCCTTACGGCTGTAAAAAGTGGGAGAACACAGCCCTCCCACATTTAAAAGTGACAGGGCCATGGCCTCCTGCCCATCCACCCACCCGCGCCCGAGCTTCTAGTCACTCTTATCTAAGAGAGGTGTTGCAACACTCTGAACCAGCTGAAGCCTCTGCAAGGCCCTCTTGGTCAGCCACAGGCAGAGTGCCGCATCTAGCAGTTTGAGGTGGAGGTGATAAAAGCAGGCGTTGTGGCCGGGCCCTGACCATAAGGATGTGGCCTCCTAGCTGGCAAAAATGGAGGAAAGAACTTTTCACCTTTGCAACTAAATGAGTGGCAAGGAAGAGATGAATTCAATATGACCCTGAGTCACGGCAACACACTGAAAATTGACCACCGATTGTAAGCAGGGACAAAAACACATTTTGTTCCTAGTCATGTTTAAGTGTATGCCCTGGTCTACATTTAAAATTTAGATCAACCTAGCTAAATTGCCACCAAGTGCCATAGTTAAACTAATCTAACCCCCAGCATATACATGGCTAGAATTCTTACACTGACACAAGGGATTTTTCCTATGCTGTAGGTAATCCACCTCCCTGAGCGGCAATAACTAGGTCAATGTAGGGTCTACACTGTAGCTCCCATAGTGTAGACATGCCCTAGGGTTCCCCCTAGGGTTATATGCAACTAGGAACAGACATATGTGTCTTGTCTGCACTACAATTAACCTAACCTATATGTTGGTTCACAGTTGTCAAAACATGAATACAAGTTCAGAAGTAGATAAAGCCCCATAGCTACAGACCTTTTTGTTGTACAACTCAGTATCTTTATTAACAAGTAAAAATGCAGAGTGGGGCTAATCTAATATTCCCTGTTAGCAGAGACCTGGAGACCGATCGTTCAAATGATTATTAACGGCACAACAAACATGCACATTCATGATTCAGAGTCTCGGCATTAGTGTCGGACAGCTATTCCTGTTACATAAGGAAAGATTAAAGAGGGATGATTAACAGCGGACATTAGCCTCAAACACTAATAGCTTCATTAACCGAGCACTGGGGTTTGAAATCGTATTTCTAAGCTTTGTTTCTAAAAAAACAGAAAAAAAACCCAACACTAACTATGTGGTTTCCACATGCTGCTTTAAATTGCTAAAAGCAAGAATCTTTCTGAACCTTCACGCACAGGGTATTTCAGTGACACACTGTCACTCGTTGGAGGAGAACCCGTTCATCTTAACACATCAAAATCATTTACAAGCAGGATCATCGTGCCATGATAATTCACACACCCAAGCTTAGACCGAGGGGAGCAGCTGCCAAGAAGTCACAGAGTCAGAGGGTGTTTCAAACAAGTCTCCTGAGGGCAGCTGCTTAGAAACAATGTGCCAGCCCAGAAGCGATGCCACCTGCCCAAGCGTGCCATCTTTGACTCTTCCTCGGTAGGCAAGATAGCATGCAGAGAGAGCTGGGACAGATATGTTTGCAGTGGTTCCTTCTTTATGTTCATTGACATCCTCAGTCTTGAGAGGTGCTGAGTACCCTCAACTGGTCCCATTCATGCCAATGGGAGTTCCCGGTGTTCAACACCTTAATGTTCACATACAACGGTTCTCTCGTTCACATGGAAACCATTACTGAAGGAAAACAGATAAGGCAATAAATCGCAGCCATTAACAGAATTTGATTTAATCCTCCCTGCTGTCCAGCCCCCTCCGAGGTGGTGCCACCAGGGGAATTGTCTGCCTACAGTCTGCTTCCTAATTTCATAAATGTAAGATTCATATAAAAATCTCCCTACTGATTTAATACCTGAGAAATCCCGGATGAGCCGATTACTTTAAACCCCTTAAATTCTGTTCCCACCCATGGTCAGGAAGCACTTCTGACCACATCCCTGGCATGGGGGAGGACTTCTCCGTCTATACCCTTCTACACCATGAATACTGCGTGGGGTAGGCTAAAGGTATCCTCTTTCACTCCCTCTTCTTAGAGTTCACGGATTCGCCCCCACAACGGTCTGCGAGAAATTCCCAAACAGCAGTCTAAAGCCACTTGAATTGTAGTGAACAAACTATCTGTTAAGAAAGCAGATAAATTCCTATGGAAGCCAAACAAACTCACGTGGTAGACAGAGCATTCTGCAGTCTAGGACCCCTTAGAATATGTCTACCCTGCAGCTGGGTGGGAACCTCCCAGTCTGGATAGACAGATTCATCCTCGTACACTTAAAATAGCAGCGTGGACATCGCAGCTCAGGCTCAAGAGCCCACCTGACCCCCTAGGCTTACAGCCCGAGCCGTAAGGTCCATGTTGCTATTTTTAGCATGCTATCTCAAGCCCCATTAGCACAAGTCTGTCTGTCCAGGCTGGCAGGCTCACTCTACTGCAGTGTAGACATACCCTTAGAGCCTTCACCAGGGAAGCCCCAGTACTTGGAAGTTGTAGCAAAGAAACTGAGAAGTTTAGCCTTATATGTCTAAAGAAATGCCTTCCAGGCAGCGCCCAAGTCCTAGTCCCTACTGTCAGATGTCTTATCCTTTCCCGCTGGGCTTGTCTACAGAGAGATTAGGGTTAGAAAATGTTAACTAACAGGATTTTTAGGCACAACTTAGTACTCAGTGTAGACAGGGACTCTGGTGTTTAACACTATCAAAGGGTGGTCATTATTAGCACTAAAGGTCCACCCTCGGTTGTATTATGACCAGACATGCCTTTAAACAGGAGGCACGCCTTCTACACTAAAGCTGGAATTTTCAGAAGAGTGTAAGGGATTTAGTGTCCAGCTCTCAGTGAATTTTAGTGTGATTTGAAAATCCTAGCTCAGACATTCAACCTTGTGTCAGTTAACACATGTTCTAACACAATGTAGTTTTGCGCGTGAATTGAGTTACCCATGATTCTTCTCAAAGTACTAGGTGCTGAAACTTGAGAGCCATTCTGTCCCCACTGGATTTTAATGAATACCTGCAATATAGGTGATAAACATTCATGCCTATAAACTTTTAGATGAACAATTCAGCACAATGCAGAAATACAGATACAACTAGAAGTCACCACACCGAGTTAGAACCAAATTTTTCAAGTAGGCTCCTGTAAGATTGTGGGGTGAGAGAGAGACGGCATCTGTTTGCACGAGTCAAACCCAAATTTGCTCACACAGAAGTGCTGATTCTTCCTGAGCAAACAGACAAGCCCCTAAATATTGTGGGCAAGTGTTTAGATGCTGTGTTGAAAACTTGATTCTCAAAAAATCAAGTCAGAAAAAATCCTCCACCATTATTATTTCACTCTTTAAACAAGACCAAAATTTACACAGCATTGCCCTTACAAGCTTAAATGCTGCAACCTTTTTCTTTGCATGAGGGAAGATTACACGTCCACCCCTATATAACGCTATCCTTGGGAACCGAAAAATCTTACCGTGTTATAGGTGAAACCACGTTATATCAAACTTGCTTTGATCCGCCGGAGTGTGCAGCCCCCCCCCGAGCACTGCTTTATCGTGTTATATCCGAACTCGTGTTATATCGGGTCGCGGTATATCGGGGTAGAGGTGTACTTACAAGGAGCCTCTACTGTGATCTGATTCTGATTTAGAGAAATGACAAAATTCATGGCAAGTCCTGGAATCTGTTTCCACAACGCTTTATTGCTTCCAAGATGTGGCGTTCATTGCTCCTTGCAATGTACAGAATCATACATTAACAGCATCCCCGTCACACGAGTACTACAAAATTTCCACTTTCACCCACTATGTGCTGTTGTTATTAGAGTGCCAAGTGACATATCAATTTACACAGAAGCCTCCAGCTCATTTTGCTGGGTAAATATAGTCTTGTGAGCAAAATGAATTTATCCCCCGTTTTTCAACCAACATGCCTTAATTTCCAATTAGTGCAGTGCACAGGGCACTGTTACGGCACATGCATTTAGTATGATTAGCCATTGCATCGGCGGTAGGGAGAAGAATAAATTAAAGCATTGGTTACGCGCTTGCAAAATTATGCTCACTTATTCTTCAACTAGATGTTTCATGCTGTATCTGCTTTTCCTCTCTCAACCTTCCCTCTAGGTGGACTATTAGGTGACTCTCGGGTGAAATAGGATGAAGCCAGTCAATGACAAAACTCCCATTGACTTCAATGAGGTCAGTTTTTCGCCCTTGGAGAGAGATTCGGGCCCCAGTTCCAGTGCTGCAGAGCAGCTGGGAAGCCAGTTTAACTAGCTACCTGGGGATTCCCCCCTGGAAGGTGAATCCGTGGCTGACACAGAGCTTCTACACTGGCTCTAAGCCATTGCCCTTCTAGTCCTTGGCATTGATAGTGTAATCGGGGCATATCTACACACCAGCTGCTTGAATAGCAACTTTGGTCCATGGGCAGCCAGGCATAAGTTACAATAGCCTTTGGGCTGGGAACCAGACTAGTCCCAGGATTGGGAAAGCCGGCTGTGTCCTGCTGCACCCGCCATCTGGTTTTGGATTCTAAAAGTCATCAAGGTGCCCCCAACTCTGAAGTCCAAGGGAGCCGAGGGAGCTCCTCACCTTGGAGGAGTCAGCGCTTAGTGAGATCCTACTGCATCCGGCTCTCCTCAGACCACGGATCCCAAGGATCCTTCTGTTGACATGAGCTACTAGACTCCCACCGGTACCCTACCGCAGTCCAGCTCTAATCACCAGGCCCAACTCCCTCTTTAGGTATGTCTCACCATCTCCCATCTGTATGAAGTGTCTCTTTCTGGCTCACAATACCGTGACTCCCAAGCTGACCAAAAAGCATTTATGTGATGGGTTCTTTATACCTTTCTAATCCAGGCTCAAATTCATTATCTAGTATCATGAGAGAAAACCCCGCCTTTCATGTCAATATGGATGCAATGCAGCCAAGAAAGCCCTGTTAAAAGAAAAAGAAAAGAAAAAAAGCAGGGGTGGGGGGCTTTTTTAATCCTTTTCTCCTACACCATTTTAAACAGGATGAGCATGAAAGTGTAAGTGGACACACATGGAACCAGAGAGAAAATCAGGTTGATGCTTCATACTAGTAAAGGTTCAAAAATAATCTTACTGCAATTCACAGTTAAACTGACTCATTCACTGGAATGCCCGTAGCATTATCAAGATGTGAATAGGAACACGAACACCAATGTCCATCTATCAAGGAAGGGGCAATAAACGACGGCTAATTGTCCTTTTAATTTTTGCTTCTGTGTTTAGAAATGCTTTGTAAATATTTTCCCTTAGGCAAACGATTCAATCCATAAATGGAGAAGTTAAAATCAAAATATACTGTGTGCCTGCCCTCTTTGACATAATATACCAACCTCATTTATTCCAGTCTGATCCTTCCCTCTCTGACTGAGAGTTATGTTCTCAGGGTATTTTGAAATAAACTAGTACCTTCCTGAAAAACAAAACAAAATGTGTTTATTTTCAAAAATACTGCAACCAACCTCTGGGACTGAGACCACACTTATCAGGCTGGCCAGCAAACAGCCACTGATTATAACAGCTTTGGTTATTGCTGTGCTAGGCTGAATTTGAACTGGCATCCTACGGGCAAGATGCTCCAGAGCACCTTAACAACCCCCTGAGCCACCCCCGCCTCACAAAGTAAAACACAAACAGGTTTGGTAGGTTAATAAGCAGCCTCCAAAAAGTTGCTCTCTTAGGACTTCTCGTTACCCTCCACCCTGTAAGCTACTCTGCTATGGGTGGACAGAGGAGAATTCAGCATTAACAACATGGTTAAGTAATTTTTCTTTCCATCGCTTATCTCCTTTTCATCTCTCACGTCTGCTTTTAATTCCCCTTTCTTGCTAGCTTCCTACATGTTTACTTTCTTCGGGGTCTGTCTAGGCTCCGTATTGGAATTATGCCAGGGTTGATCCCCATTAGGTCAAAAAATGAACTTCCATACCTCCTAGCAAGGGGAGGGTCACCACTCCTAGGTCTAGCTGTTGAATTCCAACTCTACTTATTAAGCTCTACCTAGATTAGAGAGGCCAGGGAGATGTAAAACAGGAACAGCAAGTTTAGTTGCCACATTTCCAAAAGCCACCTAGTTCCAACAATAACAACCTGCTCTTATAAATGGAAAGTCATGGTAGTACAATGCATTCTGGAGAGTTAATACAGCAAACACCAACTGCTGTATTAGGGAATTATTTACAGAGTCCCAGTCTTGTAAGTGTTTCAGTAATTTTGTTTAATGAACCTCAGCCCTCTGAACATTGCAGATAGACACGGCATACCTGTGTCCTCTTAAGCATGTATTTGGTTGGCCATCTGGATGGAAAATGCCAGTATCATTCTAAGGATTAGCAGCGTTTTCAAGAGCTGTTGATACAGTAGATGGGAATTTATACAAGATGTAGCATTGCTGTTTCAGGAATGCTCCCTAAAACCTCTCAGTAAACATCTTAAAGACAGCAATTATCCTCATCGAGCTATGAATCTCTGCAGCATGTCAAAACACTTGCCCTTCCTAATCACAGCCATCCGCCAGTTCTTTAATTATTTAGTGACATGAAGGATGCTAAGATAATCAGAGCATGCAAACACTTACTGTAGCAGGGATTCAGAGAGACTTGGTAAATATGTATTTTAAATATGGAACATGATGGTAGACATTTAAAAAAAAAAATCTTTTGTCTCTTTACTGCCTCCCATTCAGCAAGTTCATGGTTCACCCCAGTAGTCCCCAAACTTTTTCCATCATGCCCCCCCCTTTACCCTTAAGGGAACCTGTCTGTGCCTGTGCCCCCCCCCCCACCACACACACACACACACACACACCACGGTCGGGAGCCACAGTTAGGAGTGGAGCCGGGAGCAGGGCCAGGAGCAGAGAGCCAAGGTAAGGCCGGGAGCGGAGCTGCAGCCAGGGCGGGGAGCAGGGCAGGGGGCATGGCTGCGGCCGGGAGTGGGGCCATGACCGGGGCCAGGAGCAGGACCACAGCTGGGGACCGAGTTGGAACTGGGGGCAGGACCAGACTAGAACTGGGGGCAGAGCACAGATGGGTGGGGTTCCCTCCCTGCATCCCGTGGGTGCACCCCACAGTTTGAGGACCACTGGTTTACCCTATGTGCGCTGAAGGGAGTAAGGGGGTATAAGGGCTATCTGCATGGTGCGGGTGTGGGGTCACTACTCTCCCTCCCATGCAGGTCTGTTGGCAGTAAGTGGGCAGGGGCGAGGCCTTAATTCAACCCCCTCCCCCCCATCACCACCCCCCAGACCAGCTGAGCCAGCACAGCAGGGGAAGTAACATGATACTGGTATAGGCCTGTAGCCGATTGCTCTCACAGGGGCAATCCCACACCAAGAGGGATTTGAGACTCCGATGCCTGGTCTGCACGTAAAAATAGATCCACCTAGCAACTTTGCTCAGGGGTGTGAACAATTCACACCCATGGGCACCACAGTTAAGCCAGTCTAACCCGCAGTGCAGTCACGGAAGGGCTATGGAACAATTCTTCTGTCGACCTAGCTACTGCCCCTTGGGGAGGTGGATTACTTACAGTGATGGAAAAAACCCTTCCATCAAGGCAGGAAGCATCTATGCTACCGGCAGGGTGACCAGATGTCCCGATATTTGGGGTTTTGTCTTATATAGGCACCTATTACCCCCCCATCCCCTGTCCTGATTTTTCACACTTGCTTTCTGGTCACCCTAGCTACCAGCACGGCAACTCCGTGGCTGCAGTGGCCATAGTGTAGACATGGCCTCAGTCACATTTTCCTCCCTCCTGATGCCCTCCTTGCACTGGGGGTGGGGGGGGGGAAGAAAATAAGTACACACCCTTCATATTTTACAGCAATCACCAGAATTCAGCACCAACCCGGAATGTCAAGGCCCAACTTGCTGAAGACATTTTGATTCTAAGGAACTGCAGATTATTCACGATTTTATTACATTGGATCCAGATCTTAATTTCCTAAGCCCACTAAAGCCAGAGAAACTCTTTCCACTGGATCAGGTCCCTGAAGGCTTGCCTTTATAGAATGGTTTGCATCATTTACTGCTCTCAGTTACACTGGTGCAAATCCTAAGTAACACTATGAGACCCAGTTATTTCCACCTCTGTTGCTGAGATTTGGTCCTGTTTGTCAGACTACTCCTTTGGGGGAGATATTGTAATCATTCTCTAATTACATAAACAAGAGACTATTAAACCAGCGTAGCAAAAGTTGTTATAACTATTCACTTAGATACATTTTGCTGTTATATTACTGCATTTAAAGAGTGCTGATACCTAAGAGCTCAACACAATGCACATGGATGCCAGTGGAAGACTTCCTCTTGACTTCAATAGGCATTGGATGCGGTTGCATCATGCCACAGGCAGAGAAAACCCTTGGGTATGGCGAATCGGGGCGACCGCTCCGGGCCCCGCGCTTTGTGGGGCCCTGCACTTCAGTGTGCATGTCGTGCAGGGGGCTCTAGGCTGGCCCAGGGGGGTAGCGTTAGGGGTGCCTGGGAGGCAGCCCAGCCCAGGGGGTGGGGTTAAGGGTTCGGGGGGCCAGGCCGGCCCGGGGTGTTAGCGGGGGGCCTGGTGCCGGCAGCGGGGGTCGGGCCTGCACTCACTGGCAGGAAGTGCGCGTTGTATTTCTTTTTCTTGCTCGGCATCGCAGGGCTTGTGCTCAGTCTCCGGCAGCAGCGACCCCAGCCCGCACCAGCTTCACCCCAGCATCACCCACTGCCACACCAGCAGCCAGCATCCTAGCACCGCCAGAACACACCAGTGCCAGGCTGACCCCATCCATTGCCCTTCTGCCCTGGACTCCTCCCTTTTCCGGGACCCCCCAGCACAGGGGGCCCCATTGCACCTAGCACAGGTGCCACCCTGTGACTCTTCATCATCCCTCACTCCACAGCACTGGTGTCCCCTGCCCACACCAGATTTCACCTATATAAAAAAATGTTAAGGGGGGCCCATACAGGCTGATTTGTCCTGGGCCCTGTTGTAACATTCCCCTTTGGTGTTATACAGCCCGGTGATCTGCTAGGCCACTCCATCCTTGACTTTGGGAGCCAGCCTTACCCTGCTCTGCTGTGAGAACCCCCACTCCTGGGCTGTTCATGCACAGCCTCTGGCATGTAAGCTGCTCCTTGGATTGTGCAACCGAATGACACTAGCCAATAGTTCCGGTCCCAGACACAACCTTAGGAACCTCCGTCTTGCAGTGTCCAGTTATGCCCGCTGGACGCTGCAAGCTCATATGAGTTCGTCAATTTAACAAAGACATTGATAGGTAGCAGGCTTGTTATCTGAAGGGGAGCCTCTAACACGCTTCAAACCAAACAGTGCTTCAAGTAGAATAGACAAAGATTTATTAACTATAAAGATTGACTTATCACTTTAAATCTGATTTTGTCAAATGAAATAAAAGCAAAATGCATTTTAAGCTGATTTTAACGCTTCCAATGCCCTTACAAACTTAGATGCTTCTCACTACAGGCTGGCTGGTTGCTCTTCAGCCAGGCTCTCCCCTTTGATCAGCGCTTCAGTCGCTTGGTGTGGTGTCTTTAGATGTAGGTGGAAGAGAAAGGAAGAGCTGGCAAACGTCTCTTCCTTTTATCATGTCCTCTCCTCCCTCTTGGTTTTGCCCCCTGCCCCTTCAGAGTCAGGTGAGCTTGAGTCTCTCCAAGCACGGTTGAGCAATTCCTCTGGTGTGGCCTCATGCAGGGGAGTCATTGCATTGTAGCTCCCTTGCTGGACAATGGCTGTTGATGGGTTGTTTGACAACCCGCCCGGGCGCTGGTTACTTTCCTTGCTGTTGCCTCTGGGGAGCTAATATCTGGCTGATTCCCCCAGTGCACAGCATGTTTTAGTGACAACCATCCTACACAATTCTCATAACTTCATATGCATTAATGATATACATATCTGGATAGAGAAATGACTTTCAGCAGATCATAATCTTTCCCCTGATATGTATAAAACATGCTTTATAAGGCAAGATCATGATTATATGAAAATGAGGAATACAGCACGCTCCCCCAAGGTATAGAATGTCACACCCGCACCTCCCTAGGGACGGCCCTGGCTACAGGCTTGCATATTAGTTCCTTGCAGTGAAACATGTTATCAGATCAAATCCTATTACAATAGAACTCTGCCTTAGCAATGGTTGACAAGAAAGAGATAGTTTCCTAAAATAACCAAGGTATCTATTGGTGTCACCCACACAAGATTCTCTTTGAGTTCTAGCAAACATTTGTGTTCAAATAAATAATCTCTGGAAAGTTAGACACAACATTTAGGTTTTGTTTAAAATTTTTAAAGTGCATTTTATGAAATTAAAATATTTTTGGATTAAAACAAATGAAAAGAAGTTCTATTATTTTACCCGGTAGTATCAACTGCAATGCGTGGGCTGCACTGTGCAATTGCGAGAGC